GCGGCAAGAAGTTTTGCGACCACGCGCCGAGACTAGTGAAATCCTTGACGCACTCAATGACGGCCTCAATGACCTCCGGGCAGGTATGGACCGTGTCACGAACAAGCCTACCGACTTGACCGCCAATGACGAGATTCTCGAAGCACTCAAGACTGGACTCGACTCCGTCAGAGCTGATATTGAATCCATTCGCGACAGCAGTAATGACCGCGCCGTTGCCACGCTGGAGTCTACACCCCCTGCCAATGACGAAGTCCTTGAAGCACTGAAATCCGGACTCAGTGGCGTACGAGCTGATATCGAAGCACTTCGAGATAGTCAGATAACGAAGGCGGTCGCTGTGGTTGAGCCAAAAGAGAACGACGAGGTTCTCGAGGCCTTGAAGAATGGCCTCGATGCTCTCCGTGTTGATATCGAAGCTATTCGTCTAAGCACATCTGAAAAGCCTGTTGCACCTGTCGACAACACCACCAACGACGAGGTGATTGAGGCTCTCAAGAACGGGCTTGACTCTCTCAGGGTTGATATTGAAGCCGTTCGTGACAGCAGCGAAAAGGCTATCGCACCGGCCGACAACTCGTCCAGCACAGAGTTCATCGAAGCTTTAAAGAACGGACTTGAGTCACTGAAAGCCGATATTGAATCATCTCGTGACAACAGCGATCGTGCTGCACTCGGAGAGGATGTCTCAAACGATGAGGTAATAGTTACTCTGAAGAATGGTCTTGATTCCCTCCATGCCGAGATCGCAGCTCTTGCAACCCAGGAGAAGCCTGATACTCCCATAGAGAACACTTCAAACGATGAAGTTATCGTCACCTTGAAGAATGGTCTGGACTGTCTTCACGCCGAAATCGTAGCAATCGCTACTGCCCAAAAGGAAGCAGCCACCCCAGTCGACAACACCACCAATGATGAAGTCATTGAGGCCCTTAAGAATGGCCTCGATTCTTTACGAACCGACATCGAAGGACTTCAAGAAAGCAACCAGAAAGCTCTAGCCCCAGTTCCAGATGCTAAGCCCAACGATGAGGTTCTGGATGCTCTCAGGACAGGACTAGAGTCTCTCCGTTCAGATATCGAAACACTTCGAGAAATTAACAATGAACGAGCCATTGCACCTGCAGAATCAGTCACCGAAGAGAAGATCCTTGATGCTCTCAAAACCGGCCTTGAATCTGTTCGTTTCGACATTGAGGCTTTGCGGGATAGCAACAGTGTGCGGGCCCTTGCAGCAGTGTCAAATGACAAGACAGGGGATGACGGACCTTCCGAAAAGATCAAATCGGATGACATCAAGAACCTCGAAGTGCTGATTGCAGGACTTGCCATCAAGATCGACGGTGTCAAGTCTGAGAACGAGGCTGATCAGAAAGATGATTTGTCTCGTATGGAGGATTTACTTCGCACACTTCAGGACAGCGTCGACGAGATCGCCTCCCGGGAGACACTCACAAGATCGGCTTCGGTAAAAAAGAAGAAGGAGGATGGAGAAGGAGAGACCGCTCGTGCAATCGTGGGAGACGGCGATGAGCCTGCATCAAAGGAGGATATGCAAGCCATCGAGACTATCCTGCGTAACACCAAAGGTCAACTGGACGATCTGATTGATGGTGAGCAAGCCGTTCGAAAGGACCACATCGACAATGTGGAGGCCTTGCTTCTTGAGACTCGGGAGACTATGGGGTCCCTTACCACCCAATTGGAGACGGTGTGCCGCAAAGAAGAGGTCTCGGCCTTGGAAACTCTTCTTGGTCAAGTCTCGACTAGACTTGATGAGATCAAGGAACACGCTACGAAAGAGAGTGAAAACCCCGACAAGGTCACCAAGGCTGATGTCGAGGCCGTTGAAGCCTTAGCTCTTGAGGTCAAGACAGTTCTTGAATCCTTTACCAGCACTGACCTCGCCCTCCTCGCTCGCAAGGAGGACATTACCAGCCTAGAGGCTCTTCTTGTCAAGAAAGAAGATCTTGGTGGCCTAGAGTCTATAGTCAAAGACTTTCAGGAGAAGCTGGATACCACAGTTGACGCCCAGACCAAGGCAATCGCAGTCCGTGATGAGGAGAGCACCTCCGTTGGCGAGCGCGTCACTGAGGTCAAAACCTTCCTTGAGGAACTACAGGGAACCATCAACGTCAAGCTTGAAGAGGGCGCAACTGGCGTCGAGAGCATTAGTAAGCTCCTTGAGACTGTCGGCGAGAAGATCAACAAGAACGAGAACGTCCACCAGGACCTCAAGGACATGCTTGATACCATCAAGACTGAATTTGAGGACTCCAAGGCTGTTGTGTCTGGCGTCAAGGTCGAGTCTAACGAGAAACTTCAAGAGGCAACCGAGACGTTAAGCACCAAGATCGACGAGAAGATTGGTGAGCTCATTGCCAAATATGAGACTCTTCAGACTACCCTTGATGATAGAAGTAAGGTCAGCGAAGCCAGGGACGAAGCTATGGAGGCAGCCGTTGTAAGCTCTAAATCTGTCACAGATGAGCTCAAGCTTCTTATTGATACTCTGGGCTCTACTGTCACCGATTCTCTGGAGAAGATGGAGGAGGCTTCTAAGACTGTCTTCACCAAGGTGGAGGAGCTCGTGGCCCGCAGTGAAGAGACTCACACCGAGGACAAGGCCGAACATCAGCAAACCCGCGACCAAATCACTGAGGCCTTGACGGCTGTTGAGAGCTTGAAAGGAGAGGTCAGCGAGTCTCATCCCAAGATTCTCGAATCTGTCAAGGATCTTCTTCTACTTGTCGGTGAACATTACGAACACTCCAAGTCTTCGACGAGCGAAATCCAGGACAAGATTGTCCAGCACAAGTCTCCTGAAGAGCTCCTGACCCTCCTGACACTTCTCACTGATGATAAGTTTCATAACACGCATGTTCATGAGAAGTTGGATAAGCTTATCGAACAGATCTACGATGACTCGGAAGTCAAGGAACGCCTCAACAAGATCATCGAGGAAAAGTACAACGACACAGAGGTTCGCGAGAAACTAGACAAGATCATCGATGAAAAGTATGACGATTCTCAAGTGCATCAGAAGCTCGCTACCATAATCGAGTCCAAGTATGATGATTCGGAAATTCGGGAAAAGTTGGACAATATTATTGAATCTAAGTACGACGACGCCGAGGTGCGGGCTAAGCTTGACAAGATCATCGAAGAAAAATATGACGATGCGCCAATCAAGGAAATCCTTGGCGTACTGGTTGAGCAGAAGTACGACGATACGCCCGTTCGTGACAAGCTTGACCTGATCATGGACTCCAAGTACGATGATACTTTGGTCCGTGAGAAGCTCGATCTGGTTCTGGATGGCCGATATGACGACGCTGTCGTGCAAGAGAAGCTCGATAAATTGGTCGACCACAGCGCTGTTGCCGATCATGCCTTTAGTCGCCTTGATACACTGGACAAGGTTCATGCCTCGGTAGTCCAGACAGCTGCTGATATTTCCGAGTTCCTCTCAGCGCAGAAGCAGCGAATTGAGCAGGCTCACGAAGACCATACCAAAGCTCTCCAAGAGACCATGGTGTCTGTGGAACGTAAGCTCGCCGAGAAGGATCACGTTGAGGCAGCAGTTGCAAGTCTCCGAGACGAGGAGGAGAGGCTTCGACAGAGTGTTATGACTTTGAGAACAGAACAGGAGAGTCTGATACGCCAGAAGACACGTTTGACTGGTGATGTCTCTTCCCTCGAGACGGCCCTTCATATGCGTAAAGAGGAACTCTACGACATGGAATCTCGTGCTGAAAACCTGGAGCGCCGGATCCTTGAGGGTGTTATGGATCATTCTCGAGTACTTCTCATGGCAAAGGCCAATAGGAACGGTGGCGATGCTATGAGCCGCAAACGTGTTAGAAAGCCTGCCAACGAAGAGGAGTCTCCGGAAGCAGGTGCACATGGCCGCAAGTCTATGGTGGGCATGGCACTGAATGCTAAACGTAATTTGGCTGCTCCAGTACAGAACGGAGCAGGTCGCAGGATCGTTTCGCTCAGCCAGATCAACAACAATGTAGCTTCTGGAGGTGTCAAGCGAAGCCAGAGCGTACGAACCCCTTTGGGCGGCGGTAAAACATACCGCAAACGAAGCTGGGGTGGTAACCTCGACAAAGGTCTCGCCGACAATGACAAAGAGAATACTGTCAATGAGACCGTCGAGGAGGTTGATGAGGCGGATGTCAAGTCGGCAACAGTGCCAGAGGCTCAAGAAGCCCCTACAGACGAGACAATAGTCATTGAATCGGCACCCAACGATGAGGAAGCGGCTGGTGGTGAGGGTGGCGACAGCGACAACGAAACCTTGAGAAGAAGCAGTCGAGGCACCGTAGTCACGAACAGTACGGATATGTATACGGATGGTGACGAGTATAGTGAGTACAGTTATACCGAAAGCGAATGGACAGAAAGCAATGTTGGGACTGATGCAGGATCAGTGCAAGGCAACGAGGTCGTGGTCTATGGGAATTAACGCAGAGAAGTAATGGCAACAAGCTTGATTTAGCTGGCATACCATGCATGTTTATTTTTGAGACGGGAACGAGACAAAGGAGACTTGAGTTTGGTTTGGTGGGTTTTGTTTATTTGGCAGGCATTATTGATTGTATGACGAGCAAGCGTTCAGGATTGGCATGGGGTTTGATCGGATTGGAGAATTTTCCCTTTTTCCTTAGTATTCGCAATCTGCTTAGGTCCGCTTGGACGAGAATAATGTTTTCTTGACAACTTTAGTAACAAAAAGAATGAATGGCCTACAAAGGTCTAACTACCTAGGTACCTACCAAAGTGAGTTAAGCAAACCGAGGTCCACTTGCATTGACTACCTTACCCCAGCTGAATTGTCTTATCTTATCAGCAACTGAATCGAATGAACCCCCCCTCCAGCAACCGCGCCTAGCTACGTACATAGTAAACATATATTTTGTGAACCCAGCTTCCACAACGAACATAATTCGCGACCTGTCTTCCCGCTCCGCCAATCAATTACAATAATCAACATGGATCAGACCCAAGCAGGGGGCCTCCTTGATCCCCCTGAGCTCACACCTCTCGAACAAGAGGTTTTAGACGAGTACGAACGCTTGGCTGATAATATGAGCAAAGTGCGCCTGCCTCGTTGTGCTTTGATTAGAAGGGTAGACACATACTGATACTATTCCTAGCTCGCCACTGTCCTCGAGCATCTTGCCTCGAACCCCAGTACAGAAATCCTTGATGGCCTTCGTGAGCTCGAGCGCAAGACGAGTCTTGCCTTTACTCTTCTCAAAGCCAGTGTTTACAGCATAGTGTTGCAGCAGGAGATTGACTGGGGTGATGGATCGACAGCGCAATGAGTTTAAATGAACCGAAGAAGAACGAGAGGACAGCTTTGTGGTGAAAGAGACAAGGATTGATACCCAACCAAATATGATGCGCGAAACGATGCTTTCTTTCACATGGCAATACGACAGACATTTGATATCAAGTGACGATATACCATCTATACCATTTCTACCATCCCGAGGGCATCACAGGAAGATTTCTCTATTACAGGCTACAGATACACGTTTTTTCTTTGGTGATACAGGTGCGTTGTGTGAGAGTGGGTTTAGTATACAGCTCCTCCATAGTAGACCTTGCGCACATCCACCAGCTTCTTGCCCCGGCCGATCGCGATCTGCTCGGGGTCAGGCTGGTTGGTCAGCGCTTGGTACGCCGCCTTGACAGAGTTCATGGGGTTCTTGGATCGGGGCATGCGAGCAGCGATGTCGTGGATACCAGCGGCGCGGCACATCTCGAAGATACGGTGAGGGCAGCGAAGTCCGAAGCCTGGGAGGAGGAGGTTAGCTAGCAGATCGCATGGTTGCCAGTGATGAGGGGATACATACCGGGAGGACGGGCCATTAGCTCGACTACAGTGCCTGAAATCTTGGCAGACACATTACCATAGATGGTACGATTCTCATATCGTCGGACAGGTTTCATGTTGCGGATAGCCAACATCTGAGCTGTCTCCTCGGCCACACCGGCCTCAGTAGACTTTGCCATTCCAAGTCCTAGACGGCCATTGCCGTTACCAGCGATGGCAACCACAGAGGTACTGCGGACCTTGCCCAAACGAGTTTGATTGGAGACCCAGCGAGTCACAAGACCTTTGGTCAGCAGCGAGCGAATGTCCTTCAGGCTCATGCCTGTCAGGCGCTTGATCTCCTGGTACTTGCCCGAGTCATCCTGGCCCTGATCCTCGGGGTCAACGGCGTGCTTGTACAAGCCTTTGACGCCAGGGACCTTACCAAGATCAGGTGCCTCAGCCGTGTAAGTCCGATCAACGCCCGCGGGGCCATCCTGAATGAGCTCAAGGTTTGAGGGCTCGACCTCACCCTGACTGCTAAAGCCAACAATCTTGTCGAGTTCGGCCTCCCATGCCTCGTCAACAGCCTCATCCAACTTCTCAGCCTGGGAACGAGTCATGAACTCAGGGCCCTTATCGTTTGCACTGGGCTCAGGGCCATCCTCGGCGATAATGTAGCGTTTGATTAGCTCAGGGTCCTTTTCAATGTCCTTGAGCTCATCCTCAGTGAGATCTATCAAGTCCTCTCCCTGGCTCTCCTTCACACGTCGCAGTGCTCGAACCATGGCTCGGGTAAGTTGATCGCTCGTCTTCTTGTCAGTGATCTTCATCATTTTTTGTCCGTAATTGTCGATCCATTCGCTCTTGTCAGGCCATTGTACCTCTCTCGGGGTGCCTTCGATCTCCGGCTTGATATCGTAGCGGGGGTCCAGCACGGTATAATCCTCGATATATGTTGGCTTGTAGGGATCGTCACGTAACCGACCCTGAATGATCATATCTTCGGGGCTGACGGCTTTTTCGCCCAACTCAATAGCCTCAAGCTGCTCTGGTGTGTAAGAGGCCTTGAGGTTCTCAAGATCCTGCTTGGACAGGTCGGCAAACTTGTCCTGCTTGTACTTGTCCATGCCCGCCGTAAATTCACCCGACTCCTTGACCAGACCTAGTTCTTGGGCCGTGACATTTCGAAACCGAGACTTTCGCTTCGACCTTGGTGGTGTGCTGTGGAATTGACTACATGGTACGAGAGGGACGGTAACTGAAATGGTCCGAGATGAGGCGATGCACCTACCGAGGAGGTTGCGCGCCGGACGTGCGACGCTCATGGTCGGCACGAGGTTGAGGAGTATTAATTCGACGAGGGCCAGCGGCAATGGAAGAGGATGAGGAGGAGGAGGTCGGATTTATTGGCGTTGCTCTCTCGCTCTCGTCCTCTCTCTCGTATCTCTCTCACACGAGCTAGAGATTTTTTGGGGACCCAAGAAATGGATGTGGTTCTCAATTGATATGATCCCCATGCGGTTAGCGGTTGCTGGACAGGAAAAGCCAATCAAATCGGGACTTTCATCAACTTTAAAATGAGAGCCCACACTGGAACTTCCATTCTCCGTACATAATCACGTGCTCTAGAGTACTGCTTGTCTAAATCAACCTCATCCATTGTCGGAACGTTCCTTAAAGCCACCGAACGTTCTCAACCACCTAAATGCGCTTCACTTCACATCAGTGACGCCATCAAGAGTGTGACTGAACGGTTTCTTCTTCTATTTAGGTACTATCCGTAGCCGCTTGCTTTAATATCGTACTCTCACAGTTGTATCGCCAGCCATAACCAATCATGAGCCACCTTCACATCAGTCGACTTTTGTTACAAGGTGAAACGTCTCAGTAACACCCCTGGGAGCCAAGCGACTGTTACGGGTCTTCCACCGTTGTCACCACTCACTGTGGGTGGACCATTTACCACACTTGCTTCCCGTCGCGTCCCGTCTGTCGCCTTGCTCTTTTCCTCTTCCCATAGCTATCTCGATCTCTGTACGTCTTTTATTCTATTCCATTCAAAGAACATAATATCTTCCATTTCTACTCTGTACGTGACTGGCGCACTGTACGGCTTAATTTAATTTGAAAAATTCGGCATTCCTTTATCAAAAATACTCTGCTTAACACTACGACAACGACAACTTTATCGTCATAACCAAACATACCCCGTCCTTCACGATGGGTCAATTCGACTGGTTCTCCTCTATCGGCGCTACAGACGAGGCTGTTGCTGTCCTCAACGACCAACCCATTATTTTCACCATCCTCTTGGTGGTACTTGTGGCTGTTATTCTGCAAATCGTCCTTCTCTGGTACATTCACTATGCAACCATGAAGCCTGAGCAGCGCAAAGCAAAACAGGACAAGAAGGATAAGAAGAAAGCGGGCAAGACAGCAAAGTCAAGCAAATAAGCATCATCTATTCCTTCAGAAATTACCAACAGCAATCTTTGTCCCGGCCCACGACCCTCATTTGCAATCTCATCGACTTGCCCATTACATCTGCCTCACGATTTCTATAGAACAGGCTTAAGGGTCACCCTACGCTTGCTTCTCCCATATGCTATCTATAATATATGAATCTTTCTTGGAGCATCGCCAATTCCCACCATTCTGGTCAAATCTTTTTTTTCAATATCGGGTGACACGTTTTCATCATCAGATGTTAGTCTAAGTTACACTGGCTGATCTGCGACAACCAGTGGTCTAGACTCGGGAAGTTTGCTGGGTCGACTCTTGTCTCTCGTCTTGCGAAGTCAATATCCTGTCTCATCCAAGCTTGCTCAAGTGGCATCTCATTCATAAATTCCATTGTGTCAAAACCAGTTCCAAGCTGACCAGCTTCACCAAGCCATGGCTCAGGCCAGCCTATGGAGGTTGGGCTGTTTGTAGCATTGCTCCATAGATCTCGATCGATTCCGAGAACTTCGAGACTCAAATCAGTTATTGCTTCATGATGCTCCTTACCATTCGTAATGTCGAGGTACCCATCCATGATGTCCCAACTTACATGCATCGTTGGAATGCTCTGACTTTTTTGATGCACGGATTCCCCTGATTCTGGCTCCTTTCTATCTGCCGATTCCATTGGCGGCTGTAATCCAGGAACAACGAATCCTGGGCCCGAAATGCGTGAATTTCGGGTCGGGAACATGATTCTTTCCATCGTTCTCCTATTTGTTGATGGAGGCACGTTAACATGTCGAAGAAGTACTTCCCATGCCTTTCTTTCCAGTGTGTCCGTAGAGTCGTCTTTTCCACTCTGGGGGTGAGAATAAGCCTCGTAGCCCGATGCTAGATCAGTCACTTGCTGTCTGAGCACCGGGGATTCGGCATGCTGCATACTTGCTAAGGATGTGGCAATGATGGGTAGTAGTTCGGCGCGGTCCAATATGCTCTGCTTCTTTTATCAGCGACTGAAATAGATAATTGCTGGGGCCCATACCTTAAGATAAGGCATATGAAATACTCCCGGCGCAAGCTTGGTGAGGCAGTAACAAAGTCCGCATCCCCAGACTTGGTAGCCCCTGTACGATCTCTCGGGCGCCAGCATCAACTGCTCAAAGAGAATTTCGATTAGGGACGTGGACTGCAGGCCTTTCAATGCCTTCAAGTCGTTAATTGCATCCTCCCGGGAGAGAGTCTGCGATGTATTCCTGCTCCCTTCTTCGCACGGGGAGTTGAGACTGAACATGAAGTTGTCAATAGCTTGTTGGTCGACCAGATCCAGAGTGCCTAGCAGATTGCTCTCGATACGGCCTCCGACCCTTTTCTTGTGCTTGACCCTCTTTTTCCACCGTTTACTCGTCTTTAAACATTTTCTCGGATGTTCTTCTTCTTGGGAGACGTTGCGCACATCGATCGATAACATTAGTTTTCGAAATGCAGTGGTATAGGCGGAAACTGGGGCAACGAGAGCCGATGAGAGATCTGGGTGCTGGAGTGAGAAAGATAGAAGTCCAGGCTGCTGAACTGGATATGTCCGGTTGGGTCCTAGATGAACGCCCAGGCAATCCCAAACCTGATCAACTCAGTTACAACTAACTCGAAAGTTCCAGAGAGTAACTAACATACCTCACAACCGCGGACTGCCTGGGCAATGGTATCGAGACTTTCTGTCTCAAGGATCGGATAGCCATTGAGTGCAATAGAAACCTCAAGGCAACAAGCAACGGACCGAGCAATCCAAAGATGAGAATCTTCCACTGCCGAGGAGAGATCTCTGATCGTTGCAAAGTGCGGTGCGCCATAAGGGGCATCAATATTGATCGATGCTGAAGCTGAAAGTTCGACATTTGCTTGGTTTGCAATTACCCGAATAGTCGGGAGTCGCAACGCGCACGACATTGTTATTCCATGCAATGGGAGTGAGGCGATGCCTATGAAATATTCTGCGGTGTTGGTGGAAAATCCGAGTCGCGGCCAAGGAAGGAGCTCATTGCATCCCAATAACCTAAGTAAGGCAGGTACCCAATGTGAGAAACACCCAACGGGACAGTCGAAAGAAGGAGGGATCCGATAAAGTCTACCATTTGCTAAGGCAGGTATTCAAGGCAAGCACAAATCGACAATCATCCAAAATGCTATAGGTTAGTAGTTGGGAGATGTTGATAGACAATGTAACCAAGTCACTAATCAGTGGAATGTGTCCAAAATATGAGTCCCTACTAAGTTACTAAGGGTGAGTCAACTTCATAAATCCTAGGTGTATACATCATTATCTGGCTATGTTCAGTCCAAGCCAATAGGCGCACAAAGTCTACAAAATGCCCCTAATGTTTGCATCCATAAGTACAGTGCGCATGCGTGCTCCGTAAACTCCGTGCGATCAATTGATATATTACTTTGCAAACCATGGGAACTTCTTCTTCGGCGGCTCAGCGAAATTCCCTGAGCCACTTTCGACTTGCACACTTCGCTGATAAATGTCCTGTATGACTCCGTTAGTTTATGTCCTCAAGAGATCATGCAACTGAATCTCACCTCTTCATCCGTTGGCATGCGACAACCCAGAATCAGTTCTCTTGCAGTATCGTGCTTGGTTAGATTTGGGTATGATGTGCTCTGGCTCTTCATGATTGGTAACAGGACCTCGCCTAGAACCTCAAACTTCTTCCAATTAATGCGATCTCCATCAGTGCCGACAAATGTTCTGCTACCCTCCTCTGCTGACACCAAGTCTCTTCGATGAAGGGGAATGAAAGGAATCCGGGGGAGGGAGGAGTTTTCCCAGGCTAGGCGGTAGGCGAAATGACTTTTCTGAGTTCCCATCAATATGCCCAACCGCGCAAACCGCTTTTGGACTTCTGCTGGTACTAGTGCTCTCGTCTGATTTAATCGATGAATGGCTGTTCCGTTCACACCTGCTAGAATGGCTGCCAGTCCATTGTAGTTATTCAGTTGCCGCAGCTTAAGTGAAATATTCATGAACTTCTCTAATATAAGCGCTCGATGTTTGGCCTTGTCCCGCAGCAGAATCATGTTGGCAACCCATTTGGCAACATGATTGAAATGGTTGATCATTCGATTCACATTCCGTAAACTCTTGCAACGCTCTTTTTGGGACGCGGATAGGCTGACATGTCGAACGAAATCGCGTATTCGAATTGAGGAAAACATGATCCAGTCGATTCTGGTCAGCTCATCAGCAACATCATCATCGGGGATGTCCATGAATATATGGTAGCGGAATTTGTTCATAGGTAGGTTGTCCGTAGGTTCCAGGTTGCTTGCAGCTCTTTCGTAGTCCTCAAACGTGTGAAAATGCACCTGGCTCGAGACACTGCTGCTTCTGTCCGCAAGAGAGACCTCCGAGCTTCCAGATGGTCTTACGTCCATATCCGACTCCACCGTCAACACACTCACACCCGACGACAGCTCGTTCATATCCTTTGACAAGATCTCGCTTGCGAGCTTATCGCTAGTCTCGTCCGAGTTTGCCCAACCTGTATCGTCATCTTCCACGACATTGAATTGGAGGTGTCGTCGCATATGTTGCGCAGCGATTGAGAAAATCGGTTCTGTACTCAGATGCCTGATAAACTCCTCCAAGTTTCGTCTAGTTTGAGGGCGGGCGAAGTCGCCGGGGTAAAGCGACACCCATTTCGCGACCACTTCAATGATTCGGAGCTGTGTGGCGGTCTTGGAAAGGTAATGCGCTGTCTTATCGTCTCTCACTTTATCCAGTCGGGTTAAAATGGCAGTAAATAGCTCACCAGGAGCTGCAAACTTGCGATAAAGACAGAGAAAAACATCAGAGAAGTTGTTGTCGACTCTTGTCAAGCGAGGAGCAAGAAGTCGATCAACTAGCTCATCGAATGTTACGCCTGCCATCTTCGCTTGCTTATCCAGCGTGTTATCGTCATTTCTTTGAAGTATCGGAATGTCATCGGAGTATCGATAGGATTCTGCATCGGACTCATCCACATCCAAGAACGAATCGGTACTGGGTCTATCGAGTCGAATACCAGGAGTTCTCAACATGTTATTGAGTGTTTGCGCTTGGCCCAGTTCTCCTGCCTCGGGATTCGAGTTGGCTACATGACCTTGCCTGGGGCTACGAGACGACTGCGCTCGGTAGTTTTCGTTGATTGGTGGATTGGAGAAACCCTTTAGTAAAGAGAAATCGGAGCTTGCTCGACTATGTTTGCTATGCTGGCTAATGGGGCGCCCGGTGCCAACGTCAGGAGCTTCCAGATTGGCAGCAGACTGCGCTCGCCTGCGCGAGAACGTTTCGCCATTTTCTTCTATACCATGGTTAGCAACAGTCTACCGGGATCATCTTTTCCGTGCACTCGCCTCTTCGATGGGCTATCGCAGCCCTCAAGATGGTGTGGAGGCATGTTTTGGCAACATCAACGTCAGTTGAGGAGATTTTGTAGGTTGAAACACAAGATTTGAAGAGTTGATGATTAGCAATGGCTTCAGCGTTGACCTGCCATTCTGCTTCAGGGGTTTCACATTTGCAAGCCACCAGACTAGCGGGTAAACCAGAGTTCGTGAGAGCCGCTAGAATGGAACATTTAGCATAGCCTCAACCATTCAAATATATGGATTTCATACCCAAAGTCTGAGGTAGTTCACGCACGGATTCATGATTCGTGACATCATATAATATAAGAGCAGCATCGACGCGGGGGACGATATGCCCATTGATCTGTTTTGGCCACTGGATGGGCTGCATGGGGTTCAATTCGAAATACTCCAGGTCCAGCTCGAGTAGAGTTACGGCGTGAGAGTTGTTGTCAACCAGCATGCGGACGCTGGAAGCATTCGAGATAGGTGGGCGAGACAGGCCCAAGACCCGCTGGACAAAGGATGATTTGCCAACGCCGGTGGAACCGATGACGGCAATGTTGAAACTTTCCATAGTCGGTGATGATTGGGACTGTATAGCGTCAAGCTGTGGTCAGCCGTTTGTCGCAAAACTGCCTCTACCATCCAAACCCCGGATGACCGTTTGTTGAGCAACGCTGCCCCGCGATAGCTAGGGTGGGGCCGCATGTGATGGAACATGGTTACATACCCAGTACGAAGAGGGTGTAGCGGTCAAAGATTCTCGTCGTGGAGGCGGCCAGTATTGGCTTGATTCGTTATCATCGCTGTCGGGCTTCACTTTCTTTCCGCCGCCGCTTTTGCGCTTGGCTTGCTTTGCCGTTTTGCCGAAGTTGTGCCCCTTTGTGTCGTGAAAAAGATGCTCGTGGTCCTCGTCTTCTAGCGATTGGTAGACCGAACTTCCATCAGATTGGTCCTCGTCCTCGGAAACTGCAGCGGCTTGAACGGCCGGGTCGTAGGTCTGGAAGAAGGGGTCGTCAATAATTGAACCGACTGAGTCTCGATGGCCGTTGGCCGGGGCTGAAGGATCGGAGTCGCTTTCGATGTCGGGGTCTATGGACGCCCGGCCTGAAGCGGCAATGCCTGAGGTTGGGTGAGCCTTCTGTGAGTCAACATGATTGGGTTGCATTGTCGCAACTTCAGCGACTAGCTGAGTGGTAGAGATTAAACATGGACGGGATAGACTCGATGCCAGCAGGCGCAAATGACAGATGGAGGGACCAAATCCTTGCGGGGATGGAAGAACTCGTGGAGCTTGCTTGACTAAGGCAGGGTAGCTACAGCAGGGGTTCAATCCCGTAGTAGGCTGTGTGAGAGAGAATGGAGAAGGGATGAAAACACTCAAGGTCTGAGTAACGAGAGACAAGAAGGTACTAAATGAAGAGCCAAATGCTAGCAAACAAGGGAGGGAGACGACTTTACCGTACCTTAGTGACTGGGAAGGCTTGCACTGTACTGTGTTGTACAGCACCGTGCTTGGGGAACCAACGGAATGAATTGGTTCGATGTCCAATTGGTGGCAGTTTGGCGACCTAGTGAGAGGGAGGGATGGATGGATTGATGCGCAGATACGGCGGAAACAAGCACTGCGTCCTTTGGGTGACAGCCAGCAACGAGACAAATCGAACGGGTCCAGTAACTTGAATTAGTATAAAGCACTGAATGATCAGAACAACAGACTCGAGTTTTCTCGGCTCTTGTCTCGAGGTACACGCCGGGCCACTACCTATTCTGAGGCAATACCCAATACAGGCACCAATTCACAGAGTTGAGACACCCAACTCGGAGTAGTACTCGAAACCTATTTGAAACCCATCGTGTTAGTCCAATTCGACCAACCTCAAGCCATAAAACGGAAGCCAAGAGCGTTTATACAACGTGACAATGCATGGCATTCTATCCGCAACCGGGAGAACTACCTAATACTGTGCAACCAGAGTGGCCCAACTACATACAGTACTGCAATTGAATACTGCTGGTTGAAGCACAGCCTGGACTGGATATATCTTTGTTCAAATCTGAGGAGAAGGACCTCGAAGAGATGTCAGGAGAGGGGAGGAGAGGATGCGCTACGACGCGCTGAAGCGGACCCGGCGTCGTGGGTTGAAGAGTGGATGCGTGTGCGTACAGTATGTAGGCGGATGCAGACGCCTCTGGTTCGGAACGGAGGAGAGCCACGAGGGGAAAACTCCTAAGGAACGCGTGCCTAGGAATGAACAGAGAGTATCATCAATCTTGACACCGTCAAGTTCGACTGCGCGAAATGTCGAATCTGGCACAAAGAGGGGAGAGAGCTGGAACCGAGCCTGTGGCTCGGAACAGGGAACGTTTTAGGAGCGGATGGGTGGTCTAAGGTACGGTATGGGAGACTTAGTTGGACAGGCTATTTCCAGTTAAGGAAACTGGGTTCAAAGCGTTATGCAGGACTTAAGCAAGTCAACTAATAACTCACTCATTTCTCGGCGTTGTTCTGAGGACTGATTTAAATTGAGTGCTGAAGATCAACGGTAATAGCAACCATCCCAAACAATATGACAGGCCACAAAAGAATGCGGCACGGTGTCGGCATCGGCGCGGCACGAAACCGTTCCTGGAACGCAAACAAAGGGTCTTTGTCCTCAACTGAGACAGTCAGCAACTCTCTGCTTCTATAAAAAGGACCTTGAACCCAATCAACCAAGACTGACTGGCCTTTGGGGCTTCTTGCTTTTCACGCACTCTAATTGCACATCTCCCAGGATCCAATCCCGCGTTCTGTGTTGGCGTTTTGCTGCCCATTGGCCAGTGCACAAATAGCTAACAGGGACATAAGTACCTGGCACTTGATCATTCTAAATAGTACCTACCTACCTATCTAGGTACCTTAACCATAAGACTCACGTTCAGTTATACCGGTTTCTGGTTGACAACCACTTTGTCTAGTTACGAAGGAGCAGTGCTGATAGTGGATTCAGGCACATTGCACCCATCATGTTGATTCTGCCTTACATATGGTCTTCATATCCAGGACATCCAATAGTGATTGCGTAGACCTCACTCGCTCATCCCCAACCCTCACCTACCGAGTTACATCAATGTACTCGAATTAGTAACTTACATTGGGCACCACAAGATTCCAGCTCTTTACAGAGCGGCCTCATGGATGGCATACAACATACTATAACCCAAGGCAATGGGCGTTATGACACGAGCCCGTGGAAACACCTGATCCATTCGGCTCTCGCCATTTGTCAGTTTCACTGTCTTCCATATTCTTCAACAGATTCCTTCTTAAATTGATGCATGAACTGTTCATGCTCTATGAGCTTAAATCCACTAAGATGATAGAGTCATACGAGGAAGATTGTTATTTTTCTGAATCCTCCAGCTTCAGTGTTTGCTCCTAGAGAGACGTTTGGTAGTAGAGTAAGCACAACTCCAAGGCTCTCACCAGTCGACACTTTGACACAACCAGAAGCCTGGTATCGTGCTCTATTCTTCAAGTAAGTTCAAAACTCAAACAGACGACCGAGATCTGAAAGCCTATGGCAATAAAGTACAGAATTTGTAAGAGGATATATCGCCGACGCCCAGCTGCCGCCCACGACTCGACTGCTTATTACTCACAATTCTCAAGACACTTCTTCTGTTGTTGAGACAGAATGGAAAGCAAGGCAGATCAGTTCGGTTCCTCAACAGGCACCTTCCAGATAGCATAATAACTGATGTATCTGAAGATGTCGGTTGTTGTTAACGCTTATCCGTATGCGTATCGTAATTATGGGACCTGAAGATGTTCAAACTAACACCTAGCAGATTGGCTCTCTGGCATTGGGGGCACGATTCATGAGATAGCACACCAACGAATAAACTTTGGTGGTTCGTAACTAAAAGAGACTCGGCTTTTAGCAATCTGCCTGGTATTATCATCTGGCCAACTAACTTGGCTGGCTGATACAGGAGTACGTCATTTTTTAAATAGTCCCCGAAGTGACGCGGATTGTCAACATACCTACCTATCTAGACTTCACTTACTGAAACAGCCAAGTACAGAGAAGTGAGCATGAGTACGGAGAGGATCTTGCTCCACCAACAAGGGGAAAGTAACGACCGCAAGATATAACAGTTTCGAGTCAAATTTGCTATACAGAGCCTAGAGAGCCGACTATCTCGGCGGAAGGCTATGAGAGACGAGGCCAATCAATATTATACATCAAGTTTCACGCTATTCCCATCAACAATAACTCGGCAACGGCGAAACCCGACAGAAAGGTTACGCTACCTGCAAGTATGGTGGAAGACCCTTCAAGTTTCAAACACGCTTTGCGCTCTTGCAAATACTCCGAGAACAATGTCCCGTGTCTGGTTCTAGTCACTATAAGTCATAGCCGGCTTGGCACATTCCTGCGCCCAAAAGCGGGAGCTCTGAACTCGGAAAACGCACGAGCCGTCCTACGAGTTCTGTCAATGGATCGTACCCACAAAGTGTAGCGCCGCCGTCTGCCAAGTTGAGGAATCCAAGTGAGGTCCCAGTCCTCCCAGATGATGGGGTCTGTTCAGGCACAAATCATGCATACGGCGATCTACATAGGTAGGCTGGCAGGTAGGTAGGTATCATAGGAATAAATCAATGTCGCATCTGCATCTTCGGATGAAGAAACTCTGACATGTCTGATCCTTCGGACTCGACCTTTGACTGGCCATTGTCTTGGAGGAGTGGCACTCAATCTCTGTTGGTTTGACTCAGTGTCCTTGCAGTTCTGGCCCCTCCGACTGGAATTCCATCCACGTCAACATCATTCCCCAGCTGCAAACAATGTGTAGAGAGCATTTTCGGCCACTTCGAGACCCAAGGTATGCCGTCGTGACAAGTCCCTCGAGAATTGAAAGATCTAGTCTTCGGTGACGTCCACTGTTTATGACATTGGCTCTGTCAAGAGACCCAACAACTGCTAATGTCTTACCAAAAATACTAAATGACGTTGGACCAACCCGTGTAGCTGGATACTCCAAAAATCTATCAAACGTCCTGTTTGTGTGTGCTATTTCTAAAAGCAGCCATAACCGAGAAATAGGGTTTTTGCGGAATACTACATTGGAGAAGTTGTCCCCTTTCGGCGATCAGGAACGCAGGCGACATTAGTTGATCATAACAATGGGACCAAATTAAGCTCTGGCTGGATCAGTCCACCCAGCCCGCTGTCGAGTCGCGAGCCAGTTACGACACGATGGCGCTTCTGGTTGATAGATGCCCACTCATCGCGGACGGCTTCATAGTTTTCCAGAGTGGGCCAGGCCTGTCATGCTTTGCCAAGAACTTGTAGCCATGACGACGTTTACATTTAGTTGTAGTCAGAGACATTTATCTCGCCGAGATCCCCAATATCCGTCAAGTACGCTCAAAGACTATTACAAGTTTTCCTACATACCTAGTCAAAGAATCGTAAAACGCAGACTTGTTTGTCGATATAGCAACCTGCCAGTGGCCAGCAACCCTGCAGCCGTCATAGTGGCATTCAACCCCCTAGGATCCCATCCCATATCTCCAAGCTCATCATCAAGCTTGCCCAGCATGACTACAACAATGCTGTACACGACGGGCATTTCAATGGAGGAGCCAAGCCATCGGTTTTCGCCCACGACAGTAGCTCCTGGGAAGCCCAGGCATCGACCAAAAGCCTTGCAGATCCAGCCATTGAACCCCAGCGAATTGAGCGCGAAATTGAACGATATTTCAGTCGAGCAAGAAGGCCAGCCTTGTCGTCCAGTCCACACAGAGGACTCACTCCGGACCCCATTATCTGCAACAAGTATGGGTGCTCTGTCTCCACGGACTATTCAGCCAAAACATGCGTCGCTATCGATTCCCACCCCCGTTTCATCGAGAGTCTTCAGGAAAGAGAAGACTGATGATAAAACTAATTCACCTTTGTCCGCAAAGCCGCCACGTCGTGGCAGCTTTTTTGACGCGTTCCGCTTCAGAGGCTCGAACTACACTGATGAATCGCAGAAGCAGACAGAGGAGGATGTTCAGAAGCCTGCTCGTTACAAGCATGTTCCTCAGGTGGCAGCGCAACAGTTTGCTCGCACCACAACAGTCGAGCCCCTCACTCAGAAAGCTTCACCCAAAGGAATGAGACCTGCTCCCGGCCCCCACCCCATGAGTAATGGCACCATATCACTGCAAGAATACAATAGGCAGTATAGAAGAGCACAGAGTCTCTGCAGCGGAAGGCCAACTAGCGCCAGCAACGTTGCGAGGATGGGAGGCACTGAGCTGGATAAAGTGTCAGCCCAACGCAAGAGACAAACTGCCCGTAATTCCATGCTTTGGAATGCCAATGGATCTGAGTTATCACGAAGAATGAGCACGGGTAACATGCAGCCTCATCCTCAAGCCCGACGAGAATCAATATGTACGGGTGTCGGAGGCTTTCAAGGGAACGTCACGTCATCAGCGAGACGTGGATCCGCAAGCTCGTCAGGCTTCTCCGATGCATCATCCCCGTTTGTACGCGAGTCTGGCCCAGCAACCCCTTTTAAGCAAGAGTTTGGTATCAACACTTCGCCAAACCGTCGAGGGTCTGAGACTAGTGCAGCCACTTCTTGTTCGAGGAGAGGTAGCTTTGTGAACATCCCCAACCCTCAGCACGCGGCTGAGATACACCGGGTGGACTGGTCTCAGAGTGACCAACCAGTCAAGGTTCGACAAGATTCGAAGTGGGGAGGCCTCAAACATCGAAAGGCTAGTTTGAGCCAGCAGAAGCCCAACGCCGAGGACCAAGGGTACAATTTTACCAAGACGAGCTCACAGCCATCTGTTTCTCCAAAGTCACCCAAATCTGGGTTCTTGAGGCGATTCATGCATTAGTGAGGGAAAGAATGCGAATGACTAGGGTAATTTGACGGGTGGATGACATATGGAAGAGCGAAGATAACTCACCAATGATTATTGTAACATACCGACCCATACCAAACATGAAGGAAAATATTAATATACGACGTCCGCATTCAAAAAAGCATCTTCAGTGTTATGTGAGATATGATTCGAACTAAGGCGGAAGCCTAGCGCTTTTCTTGCGCCATCAAGCGCTCGATGAGTTTTGTATCTTCTTGTGCCATTTTCTGCCGAATGATATTATCGACGTCCGTCTGTGCACTCTCGGCGTTCATCAAGTGAAGGATAAGTTCTGAATACTCGCGTATAGCGTCACCCTGCTCACCGTCCGCGCGACGAGCCTTGCGCAAAGCCTCTTTTCCGTTCTGAATACCAATGTCATGGTTCCAAGCTTCTTGCTTTGGTGGCAGGCCCTTGAGGAGGGAGGCGGGGATGGCAGGCTTGGCCTCAGGAGGTGGAAGCGTGGCAGCATCTATTCTGCGGAGCTGGTCGGGAAGGCCTGGATATTTGCGAAAGAGAAGACGAAGCTTCTCTGAGCTTTCGAGGGCCTGAAAGGGATTCGAGGGGTCGGGGGGCTGAGGCAGTGGTGTTGCTTGCGACCTGGAGAGTGCCGACTGAGGCGCTGCTGGTATTGTTGCTGGCTCGGGATCAGGAGGGTGATTTTCGCGATGGATCTTGTTGCAAGCAACGGAACAGCTTTGATAATGGTCAGCCACTGACTAGGGTACTACTAACTGAGATGTGAATCTTACTATGGAAGGCGACACCTTGGACACTTGTATTTTGGGGGATTCACTCCACATATACCACATGGTGAAGGATCAGGTTTTGTTGTCGCGTTATTGCCATCTTTTCCTTCAGTTGTCGTAGCAGTATCTTCTGGATGTTGGGCTGGTAGCTCATCTATTCCCTGAGGCTCTGACATTGTGATTCTTCGGTCAAGTACTACAGTTTTATGGAAAGGTACCTTAATTAAGGTGAAAGGAAACTAATGTGATGGAGCCCAAAGTAAGGTAAAGGTACTGTAAGGTGTACGAAAGGGAGAAAAGGTACAAAAAGTTTCAGTTCCAAGGGGTCTATCGCCCCGCGTCACTGCCGCTGACATTTTGAACCCCAGCAATTGCAAGCAAAAAGAAGAAGAAAGAAAACAAAAAAATTAGACGTAGAATACTGGTCCGTGCACTTCCATCGGGACTTTGAATTTGCCCTTGCATCATAGGCAGCTCACGCATTACTAATGCTCGGACCTATCACAGCTCGGTGAGTGAGTTTTAACGAAAATACCAAGTTGGGGACGGCGAAAAGTTGCTATAGCATAACATACATACCCGTCAACGCCGAAACTAGCCTGTCTTCCTTTTCAATTTGTTTCTCAACCAAAAAAGCCAGTTTTCTTGAACCTTGTCCTCTTATTAAAATCGAACCGGTAGTATCCTGTCTTTGATACATCTATTTTCGGAGCCTACGTCATGGCAACTTCAAGAGCCATGTCACGGACATTGGCCGCTGTCACTCGGCCCGTCGCAAAGTCATCTTGCCGAGGAATTGAGCGATGTACTCGTTCAGTCAGCACCGTCCGATCACAACTTCTTGTCGGTTCTCATTCTACACGACCCCTTGCACAGCGACAGCGCAATATTCCAATAGCCATACCAAGCCTCGCCGGTGTTGGTAGCGGGATCCGAACCATCTTCATCCAGACCGAGAACACCCCGAACCCAGATGCCCTCAAGTTTCTACCGAATCATCGAGTTGTGCCCGAGGAACTCTCTACGCCTTTCATTGAGTATCTCAACCCTCGGGCAACCATTTCTCCGCCATATCCGTCTCCACTCGCTGCCAAGCTCATGAACATCGATGGAGTTACGTCAGTATTCTACGGCGCCGATTTCATTACTGTTACGAAGGCTGCAGATGCCAATTGGGCACACATTCGACCGGAGATTTTTGCCCTCATCACAGAAGCCATCACTGCAGGGGAGAAGATAGTCACTGTCTCCGAACGCAGGGATGGCGACGCGGCCGAGGAGGAGGATAGCCTTGCATACAACGAAGATGACAGTGAGGTTGTTGGTATGATCAAAGAGCTTCTTGAGACACGAATTCGACCAGCTATCCAGGAGGATGGCGGCGACATTGATTTTCGAGGTTTCGATGATGAGGGTTATGTGCATCTCCGGTTACGAGGTGCTTGTCGTACGTGCGATTCTAGCACTGTCACCCTCAAGAATGGAATTGAGGGCATGTTGATGCATTATGTAAGTTCCCCGTTATGACTTACACCGTGCTGTCTGAGGCTAACGTAACCTATAGATTGAGGAGGTCAAAGGTGTTAAGCAAGTAATGGATCAAGAGGAGGAAATTGCTTTGCAAGAGTTCGAAAAGTTTGAAGAAAAGCTCAGACAGCAAAAGGGCACTGTCAGTTCGGCAGCATAGAATGGCCAAAACAAGGATTATCCTTATATGTATGATATTGGTGGCAATTTGATGATACCCACGGAACCTATCCCCTCGCCTATCTCACCGTTGTAAAGCGCTGTGGGAATGCCTCTGATCACGATTCGATGTTCGATCAAGACTTCTTGTGATTGGAAATGCGCATGCACGGTATATCGGCCCTGTGGCCTATTTTTGAGAGCGGAGTTGCTGTGCAGTATCGGATCTAGCTGAGGGCTAATCCCAACTGAAAATAGAGCATATAACCCCATTGAACAAGCCAGGGATAGTTGCATCACGAGAATGCCGCTGCTACCGTGCTATGCCCATTACTGCAGGAGCTCTCGAGATGAACGACAGAATTTCCAGAAAAGATCGGTTTAGTTGACGTTTCGTTGTTTGAAGCAAAAGGGTTGGTGGAAACAGATATCGGAGATCAGCCTAAAGCTGACGCTTTGGGAACATTGCTGCCAGAGATATGACACCTTCGCCGTGCCAGCAATATTTGGAGGCCGTACTGCGTTCGTGCGCTTTGACTAACACTGACTGGTTGGGTTGTTTTGTATACGATCCATATACCACAAGACGGCCACCTTTTGTTTATCGGGAGACTCGCGGTTGACAAGCGAACAGGGGTGCCGTGCCTGAATTGGACAGTGAGTATCTGGCTTTGACATACGAAGTACGTAGTGTGACGTTTCGACGAGTCTATAAGAGCACCGGGATGTTCTAAAGGAATATCATCTGTAAGTCGTGTGGGGTATTGGCCGGTGTTGAAATTGCCGTGAACGAGTCTTATACGCGGATGTGAATGCAGATGCCGGCGCGTTGAGCTCGCTACCTCTTTGCTTGTCTTTGTACGGTCAACAGTGCCTGGACATCAATTGACAGCAGCCTTCCAGGAACGACTGGTTTGAGAAGTTGGCAGCTGACTTTACGAGATTTCAGATGTTCTTATGACTTTGAATTGTCCAAAAAAGATCCGCAAAGAGCTGTCGGGGACCCCAGCAGCGATAGACCATCCCCCACAAACATTGACTACCTGGTCCACCAAGACTTTGGGTCTTGGGTCTCTGAGAAGCACACGCTAGATGGTATGGATCCGAAGAAAAAGCGTCGCGAAATGCTTGAGGACACTGCAATTGGCCCGGTTGACGCGATCTGGAAGCTCTCAGGCAGGGTTTATTTTCGGCGTAACACTATTTAAAAGAGTAACGTTGGGTCAGATAATAAACTACGAGAATTGGATATTGATTTTGGACCCGCCGACAGCTCCAACTGCTGGATTAGCCGTGCCAGTCAAGAGCCGCCCTAAATACCCTTGGCTCCGCCGGGAGAATGTCACAAGTCGATGTCGACGAGATTCTGCGTTCCGGCTGTGGATGGACATGGAGGGCCGGAGAGCCGCCGGCATCATTATCATAATGCAGCACCTAACTAATAGCGAAAGAAAGCCCTGCAATAATGTACCGGGAACCCTTAAGGATGACCATGTAGGTATCTCGCTCCTCTGCTCTGGACTCCAAGTACATACAATCAAGCACAGTAACCGATAAGACATGGACCGGATATCTATCCAGAAGAAGCTTGTAAAGCGACCGGCAAAAAGCTGGAGAATGAATTCAACCGCGAATTGAACTTAGCTGAAGAGAAGCCACTCTGCACTAGAAGCCCGTTGCAGTGGGATGGCGTCTTGGGATTGTCGGATCCTGTTTCTGTGATTGGCGCGGGAGTCAATATGCAGTGGGTGATACGCAAACCCCACAATCCCCTCATAGTGGGCGACGTGCGAGAGCTGTTGGCGTGTCCGGATCTCGAGGCCCTGCGTTATTGTTTCAACGTGGGGAATCAGTTTTGCCTTGGTACCAGGCAACCAAACATATACCGGGCGATAGCAGTGCGCATGACCCCAAATTTTTCTCCGTGGGAGGAACGGGTATGATTTAAATAGACCCTTTGCGCCTCGGTCTGGACGGGTTCGTTACCTCGACTTGTGTCTTCTTTAAGCCTTTCTTGAACTCAACCGTCTCACAGCACCGATATCAGACTCCAGTCGCACAAAGTAAAACACACACATCGCCCACCATGAGCCCTTCAGCAGTCGAAGGAAATGGGGTTGCAGACGTCAAGACGACTCTCAAGCCTAACATTGGCGTTTACACCAACCCCAACCATGATCTCTGGGTAACGGCCGCTGAACCCTCTGCTGAAGCCGTCAAGTCCGGCTCCGACTTGAAGCACGGCGAGGTCAGTGTTGCTATCCGTAGCACTGGTATCTGCGGGTAAGTTGATGTTCTGACCCCGTCGTCTCACCTAGAGCAATCGCTGACCAGGGTATAGCTCCGATGTTCACTTCTGGCATGCTGGTTGCATCGGTCCTATGATTGTAGAGGGCGACCACATCCTGGGCCATGAGTCGGCCGGCGAGGTTATCGCCGTGCACCCGTCTGTCAGCCATCTCAAGGTTGGCGACAGGGTCGCTGTCGAGCCAAATATCCCCTGCGGTACCTGCGAGCCCTGCCTTACTGGCCGATACAATGGTTGTGAGAGCGTCCTGTTCCTGTCAACACCACCTGTTCCTGGCATGTTGCGCCGATATATCAACCACCCGGCTGTCTGGTGTCATAAGATTGGAAATATGTCTTTTGAGAACGGCGCTCTCCTCGAGCCCCTCAGTGTTGCCCTTGCTGGCATGCAGAGAGCCCAGGTCGCCCTGGGAGACCCCGTCCTGATTTGCGGTGCTGGACCTATCGGGCTGATCACCCTTCAGTGCTGTGCTGCCGCAGGTGCTTCTCCTATCGTCATCACGGACATTTCAGAGAGCCGGTTGGCATTTGCTAAAGAGCTCTGCCCTCGCGTGATTACACACAAGGTCGAGCGACAGTCAGCTGAAGATTCCGCCAAAGCAATTGTTAAGACCTTTGGAGGTATCGAGCCCAGTATTGCTCTGGAGTGCACCGGTGTCGAAAGTAGCATTGCCGCTGCCGTCTGGTCAGTTAAGTTTGGTGGCAAGGTGTTTATCATTGGCGTCGGAAAGAACGAGATCAACATCCCCTTCATGCGCGCAAGTGTACGAGAAGTCGACATTCAGCTACAGTACCGTTATTGCAACACCTGGCCCAGAGCTATCCGCTTGGTTGAGAACAACGTAGTTGACCTCTCAAAGCTCGTCACTCACAAGTTCAAGCTTGAGGATGCCATCAAGGCGTTTGAGACGTCGGCAGATGCCAATAGCGGGGCCATCAAGGTCATGATCCAGAGCTTGGATTGAAAAAGGGAGTAATAATCAATATAAACTTGGTGCTTGGCGTATGTTTTTGCTTTCTAGGCGCTGGTCCGTTAGAAGACCGTACAGATAGCCTCTATTTGGGATATAGACATGAGAATATGAAATTTGGTGAAGAACTTTGGGCGATGAACTGGTGATGTGAATTGCGAGTATGAATGCTTGTGGAGTCGAATACAACAGATGCTGGATGTGAATATGTAGAATGGGCCATCCGTATGCTTGAATTCAAGATAAGGAAATCAACGACTTTGACTGTTGTCCTCAAAGCAGTTCATTTGGGAAGATATAGTACCTAGCGAAAATGTGTATAACTAAAAACAATTCACTGGTGTTCTTGGCCATCCAGCGGCAGCGCGGCTAGCAAGTCCGAAAACGGTCTAGCGGCTCAAGCCGTCGGCTACAACCACCATCCAGCGAGTTCTTCCGAGCTTTTTTTCTCCCTCAGACGACCTCACTCAAGATCAAGACCCAGCTTCGACTCCATCAATTGACCACCCGCCGCCGGTCTTTTTACTCCACGGAGCTCCGATTTCGAATCTACGAGGCACCTCGCACTCTTTTACTGCCTCAGCCGTCACCATGTCTTCTCTCGCTCGTCCCATGCTCCGTTCGCCCGCTCTCCGCGTCGCCGCCCGACGTTTCGAGAGCACCGCCACCCAGAAGGCCACCGAGAACGCAAAGCAGGCTGCTTCCAAAGCCACCGAGAATGCTAAGCTGGCTGCCTCAAGGGCTCAGGAAGGCCTGTCGCGTGTCACAACCGCTGCTGGTCCTGCTATTGCTGGTTACGCCAAGGGCGTTGCCAGCACTCTGGGCAAGGTTGGCGGACGAACGGGCAAGGTCATTGGCTTCATTGAGCGTTCGTGGATCATTACAAAAATAACAACCGGCGGCCTTTGAATGCTGACATTGTAATACAGGACAAGTCCCCTTCGTCGTTTACTATTCCAAGGTCGCCCTCGAGCTCGGCAAGTTCGTCTTTCATAACCAGAAGATGAGCCCTCCGTGAGTTCACACCAGCCTTACTTATGGCGGAGCATCGACTAATTTACATCTCACAGCAACCTGGCCACCTTCCAAAACACATACCAGAGCATCATCAAATCCATCCAGAACCGTACCATCATCCAGTCCTCTCAGAACGCCATCCAGCAGGTACGGAATATCGGCCCTGCTCAGCTCGCCGCTGGCGGTGTTATTGCAGCTGAGGTCCTCGGCTTTTTCACCGTTGGTGAGATTATTGGACGATTTAAGCTTGTTGGCTACCGTGGCGAGGCCTCTTCCCACCACTAAATGTGTCTCTTGTAGTAAGGAGCAGAAGTTGTAAAGATTGATGAGTGCCGGGCGATGTGATAACAAATAAGGATGGTTGGGCTTTAGACTTGGTTCTCCCCTGCCGAGGACGCCTGAAAAGGGCTGGTTGGAGACCGTCTGTTTGGGGGGGAGTTGAAAACTGGGAGACCTGGGAATACCGGTCTCACCGGACCTGTGATGTTTGTCCTCTGAGCACTTTTCTTTTGTAGAACTGTACATCAACCAGCCTTTGGCGGGCTGTCCCCTTCGTGGACAGCTTTCAACAATGATATTTAATAACTGTATGAGCCTTCCTGTGATAGATCGCATTGTCCTTGATTGCAGTCGTCCTAGTTACTTATATAACATATCATTAGCCTAGTCACCTAACACTATTTAACAAATACCATAGACGACCTGCTGCAGTGTGGTCTAATCGAGGTGGCTCAAGTTACCTAAGGTACGATCAGGACCTTCTGGGACGAGCTATTGCTATTGCTTTGCCCGGAGACTTCTATTTTCATCTTCAAGACAGTAAGTTGATTTGTGGAATTGTCCCTAGATAAGCCTGTTGCTTAGTTTCATAACTAAGAGTAATGACTCATTTGGTGAGTCCTAGGATTAGAGTGTAAGTCGAGAAATGGGTCGGTATGACCACAGTTGAGTTCGTTTACGGTCTTCTTGATCTATAGGTACTGATACTTCCGTTGGAGACTAAAGATGTCTTTCAGTACGTACCCTGTTTTCTGTGCCAAAGGACGCTGGAATCGCACGAGCAAACTGATTTCGCAGCCTTCCTCAATTCCACGACATACAGTCTCACAACTGTCAAGTCCATTAAACGTACTTTATATGCATAAATGTATGTATGTAGGGTAAACATCTATGGAATGGCAAATGTGTGGCACGATGCACTTTAACGTATTCAAATTTCTTTATGAGATTTTGGGTTAATAAAAGTGAGCTCTGTAAAGCTCCCAGATCGTTTTGCCAGATGATACCCGCAAATGTAAATTTCCTCAGCCTCCGGAGCGAGCTGATATCCCACGATACGTTAACTGAGTAACCCTAGCTCACTGGGGCAAGTCTTGCGAAGGATGTGCTCAATCCTCATCTGCTGTATCAATCTCTTGGTCATAGCTTGATGGACCACGGGCTTGTCCACCACCTTCTGCTTCTGGAAATAGGGACAGATTTGGAGTGTATAAACTCTTTCTTCGATGTTACCTCGTCCACACAGAAGAAGTCAGCCAGGCGTCTAATAAACGACAGAATGGCGCACCACAAGAACAGACGTGGGAGGACAGCCGCGCGCGAAAATAACATATGGAATACGTACACGGAACGCAGGGAGATGCGGTTGAATATTCCGTATGGTCCGGACCCTGGCCGATGTTGAAGGCCCGTCCCGACACGCGCGGACCTAGGATATTACGGAGTCCGATATTGGCCCTTGGCGAAAACGGCGTTGTTCCTGCCAGCGCTTCTGTCGCAACAGGTAGCAGAACCCTTGCCAGTCAAAGCGAGCGCAGATAATATGGCCCTTGGCAGATGATTGTGGCCAGGTGACCAGTATCTAGCGGTCAGATAATTTGAGAAGATCGACAGCCTTGTTCAGGATGGTGGACTGGTTGATGTGATCAAGGCCCCGCCCGCTGTTGGTGATACAATTGAGAATCCTTGCCTGTTGGTGACCGTCGGTACAATGCTGCCATTGAGGTAAGGCATCTCTTCAAATTCAAGGGACCCCCGGATATGGGAAGCGAGAAGTACTGCAGCATTGGAAAATCGTGGTACCATTTATGGATCGTCAGGATGCAGTTGTGCGCAAAAGCGCTGGCGCCAGCGCTTGAAACCCTCCCAGTTCACCAGGCCGATGTGGATTTGAAACCATGTCATTCCCCAAATCGACGGACTGATGGCTTCACCACGCTCCTCAGCGTAATGTGCTTCGAATAATGCGTATCAGTATTGCCAAGGCTGTTCGTTTTCCTTGCGTTGTGCGATGAATACCCCCCGCTTGATTGAGAATTTGGCATTACTGTTGAGGTCCGGGCTTCCTAGCCGTCCAGACATGACTGCGAAAGCGTTAGCAGACCATCAAGTGCGATGGCAAGATGTGTTTGTAGACTCACATGTTACAATAAGTGTGGTAGCGCAAGACACATGTTTCGCGCTTCGCTCTCTCACATAGCTCACGAACTTCCTCGGCCTCAAATCCGAGTTTCTCGATCAGGGGTTTTAAACTCATGGCCTCCAGACTATGAGACAGCCCGATATTGAACCATCGGGCGATTTCACGTTCGTTTCGATCAGCAGACCAGGGGCAAACATAAGCCTTGATCACCTCCTGCCTGATGTCTGTGAAACCTGTAGCTTCGAGCATTTGCCGATGTTCTTGCGGCGTGACTCTGACCCTGCGGTTGAATCGATCCATACCATCGAGAAAAAGCTCTGCCCACTTCACGAATGCGGAATTTGCAGGGCGTTCATCATCGTCACATCGTGGTATCCAGTCAACCTCAATGTGCTCCAGGAAGCCGATGCCTGGAGCCAAGTGCCTAGTGAAGTATCAGCGCAATGTTCAGAGATATCGTTCCGAACATACTCAAAGGCATTGTGGTAGACTTGAGGCCACAAGTCCGTCTGAATACTGCCAAGTAACATTCGCATATGAATCAAATCGCAGTCCGCCAGCAGAGGCCCCCAAGACGGCTCTTCAATGTCATACTGCTTTGGCATAAAGCCAGGAGGAATCCTAGTTACATTAGCTGATGGCCTACAAAGAGTGAGCGTGGCCTACAATGCTGGTTGAATCTGATTCAGGTCCACTGCCATAATCTGGGCATCTGAGAGACATCTTCTCTAGGTCAGTAATGTGGTCATAAACGAGATCAATGGCACAGGCATTCATACTCTTCGGCCACATTGATTGCCCAAATACCTGTGCCCGTACCAATATCCATGATTCTGGGCGAGGTGCGTCTGATGGGGGCTAGAAATGGCTTATTGTCTCGTGCCAGAAGGAAAACTTTATGAAATATATCCAAACGATTCAACTCTTCCTAATGCCTGTCAGGTGGCGTACGATATTGTCATCTGCAGACGACTTACTGAGTCAATCGGAAATAAGTATTTGCCAGGTTTCCAAGAACCATAAAACCGGCCATGTTGCCAGAATCCATCTTGAAGGTATCGCCCTTCCGACTCGCTCACGCTGCATTGCACATGTAAGATTGGCTGCTCCACCAAGAATTCTTCAGCATACCTGTTTTGAGGAGGCATTACAACCATCGATGAACACCGTCGAAGCTGCAATGTCCCAATGAAGCGCAGGGCCTTACACGAGGGCCACGAGGCGAGAGGCTGTAGCAAGACGTGATTTGTCGGTGGGAGATGACACAGATAATTCGTGTTGCGTTTTTGAATCCAGAATGAGCCAAGTTTCTAGTTCTAGTGGAGAATATCGCTGCGAGAGTTAGCAGACGCACGAAAGTGAAGAAGACAAGATCCACCAGGTGAAGTATAAAGAAAAAAAATAAAGCGAATATTGACGGAGGAATGAACGTGAGAAGCAATGCGGGTCCGACATGATGAGAACCTAATATTTCCAAGGGGAATGCGATATTTGAGTTGTCAGGACAAGCCCAACAGGCTCGGGCACCTTGGGACTCAATGGGTTGTTTCAACCAAACTTGAGGATCGCCTAGGCATACACACTAACACCTTCCAAAGATTCTCAATGGCGATAAAGGTTAGGAAGACACAACGTTGTAGTTGTGTTTATAGCAGCTCCTGTGGATCAAAGCAGAGAAAGCTTCATCCAATGGCGTTTAAGCCCATATTTGAGTTGACTGAGAGTCCTAGGGGAGCAGAAGGCTTGAAAAGAGAAGAGAGGATAGGATGTCTGAGAAGCCTCAGGATGAACTCGCACAGGTGGTTTATAGTATGAACTTACCGAATATGAACGAGTTCAGAGGCCGAAGCACGTGTATTAGAGAGACCAGAAGCCGTCTAGGAAACCGCCAAGAACGTTATGGAGTGTCGAATAAGAGGTTGAGAAGATAAATTTACGCGAATCGCAAATTCACCCAAGGTGAAACGTCGGTGTCAGGACTTGAAGATGTTGTGCTGGGCGTAGGTTGGGTATATATAAGATGCAACTGGACAGAAGACCTCCGGAACGCATTCCAATTTCTGTTTCTGTATCGAGAATACGGCCAAGTTGGCTCAAGAAAGAAGGAGATGGGAGGCAGTTGGAAGATGAAGGGGTCAACTGCGTTGAGTTTGAAGATTGTAGGAGGGGTTTTTGTTCTCTCGTGATCCTCTTTTTGAGACTTGTGGACCGAAAAGTTTGAGCCCAGATGATCACCGAGTAGCTAATGGAGATAACGGAGGCTTGAAGCTGGAGGTAAATAAATGTAAAGGGCATTAAAAAGGTCATGGGCAAGAAAGAAGCCGGAAAAGATGAGGTGGAAGGTTGTTGATACTTATTGTCGCCAGCAAGAGTGTGGAGCTGGAGCGTGGGACATGGATACAGCTAAGGTACCTAGCTAACTTACAGCACAATTGTCCTTGGGTTAGTAGCTTAAGGCAAGACAGGCTAACAGGGCAAGGCGAGGCAAGGCAGCCCTAGGCACAGCGTTAGAGGTACAGGTACGGGTACGGGTACAGAGACAGAGACAGACGCAGACGCAGACGCAGACGCAGACAGAGACAGAGACGGGCATGGATGGATCCAATGGGTCCTACCTACTAACCCAGCAGCTTAGGTGGACGTGGGACCTTGGACCTTGAACCTGTGGGTGTGTGCCCCTCGAGGGTTCGCCCCTCTTCATTTTTGCATTACACCCCCTGTTGAGATGACGGCTGTTGGTCGAGTCCTGCTCGTTATTTGTATTGTGATTATTATTATTATCATGCGCCTCGAAAAGCGGTCGAAGCCTTGTGTTACCATCCCTGAAGACTTTCTGATGGCTATGAGAACACCTCAGACAGCCCACTTCAGATTAGTTGCTAGGTACCTACTTATCAAAGCTATGCCACTGAAGCCGGCGGCACTAATATTACAACTTTTAACAAGCCCGGGACTAAGATGGGTTGGGCTGAAAATAGATCAGAATCGTAAACTTGCCATTCATATACCGATCCCCAATCTCACTAACAAGTAGCAGAAAGTGGTCAACAAGAGGATATCCAAAAGCCTGCGCCAAGGGTGCCGCCAAATGGTAGGTAGGGACAAAGAAGGTACCGTTCCGTAAGGTACCTTATCATAATCAATCACAAAGGAACCCACACACAGCTCATTCAGAGGGGCAACCAACCTCGATGTCGCTGGGCTACGCTACGCATAGTACCTAGCGGGGCTAGTGGATGGATTCGTGTGAGAACCACTCCATTGTTATGTTTTATTATGCAAGGAACTTAACCTGCCTTACCTACCCGTCCATCCTGTACCTACATCCATACATGCGCTCACTTGCTGTCTCTGACAGACAGCCTGTGGTCCTGAACCTTCTGCAGCACCTGCAGCGAACTCCCTCATCGCGTATCCAGCCCGTTAAAATTGTCATAGCATAACTACCTACCTATGTATCGCGTCTCCTTTGCTGGCCTCCCCCAAACGGCCTGTGACGTTGGTTTCCATGGCTGAAATGGTCTCCCAAGGAGGTCTTGTTATTCTGCAACACACAATATCACATCCATACTTGGGGTCCTTTCTCTTTCCAGTCTTGCGTTATGTGATTTAGGTTGCACCGATGGCCGTTTGGTCATCCTTGGAATAGCTGGGAGAGGAGTGCTGGATCTCAACGTGCGAAACATCCAGCCATGATGGCTTTCCCTACTGATTGATGCCGTTGAATGTAATGATATGGCTGTCATCAGCGGTTGACGGCGCCGAAGTCGCAACCGCCCATTGGCCTCGGGCGATGGGCGATGGACGACGGACGATGGATGACGGGTGCCGGTAAGGTTCTTTTCTTTTCTTGTTCGTGTTGGTTCCGTCCCTCCCTCTAACCGCGCCCCGGATCAGCCACTGATCGCTGTCACTGTGGAGGATGAGGGGTTCGTCCCGCTGTTGGTTGTGTTTCGGGGAGGATACCAATGTCCCTAGCCGACGACGGTCTTGTCTCTAATCACTTTAGCATCGAGCCAACAGGGAACATGGAACTAAATGAGGGGACTTGGTGAAGACAGAAATGTCAGACCTGACTCAGTTGTGGTAATCGATGTGATGATTCCAGATTTTGATGCTGGCTCGAGACATTTTCTATCAGGCGCTAAATGTATATGGTGAGATACTCGTAATTTTCTCTGCAACGATCTCAATCAGGCCATTTCATTTTTGCAAGAAACATCCCCGGCTTCATTCATGTTGGATTTGAATCGAGACAGCTGGCTCATCGTTTACCAACATTGGATGTAAGATTATTGGCCCATGACTTTTTCCCCGGGCATTGTCCGGACTAACATCTTATTGGGCCATGCCTCTGATTCAGCAAAGGAATTCATTTGAGATTAACTGCGAAACGCCGTGTCGACTTGGACACTACAGAGAGGATGTGCTAAAAACGAGATACTACCTAGGTCTCCCGAGAGCAGTGGGATGAACCAGTCTCAGTTGAATTGTATACAGGCTGTTTGTGAGTCGAACCACGCCCGAGAGGGAGGAAAGAAGCTCTCCGTCGTCAAAGGTGGTGCGCCAGTCATCAGGTGATGATGCTAACTGCTTATATCAATGGAGCCTATCATTCAGATGTATGTATTACAGAAAAAGAAAAACGTGTCACAATCCTCTTCTCTTTGACGACAACCTTGTCAGAGCCAAACACGCACGCCAACCCGAGGTCGTGGGCGAGTTCCCTAGTGCCCGCCCGCTTCTCCTTACGCCATCACGGACGGGCTGTCGAGGCTCAAGCCCTCAATCAAGCACCGTACCACTGAAATGCACCAAAACTGTCAGGGGGGTGTGGCTTACGCTAGGGAGATGCTACGGAAACTAGTGCACAGAACCCCTGCGGTCCAAGGCTCGCTTTTGGATCATTGGCGCTGAGCTCAGGTGCTGTTTGGCTCCAGGCCCCCCGCGGTTTTCGTTTCGTCCCGTTTCGGTCTCCTTTCTCCATCATCTTGTTGCTCGCTTCTCACCGATGAATTGCTTGCTTCGATGAAGCTCCTGATCGGGTATAAGAATGCGTGCCATTTACTTCGGCGGATACCGATGATCCAATTAGCTATCCTCCCCACCAATCTGATACTCACCATCTGATCCAGTGTCTCTCGCAAATGGATGGCTCGTCGCCATATGTACATACGAACTCATGTCTAAGCTTGTATGCTCAATTCGATTGCTGTCTCCCCATAGACGTATTTCCAGGATGCCTCAGACCAGTCTCGTCATCCCCAACATATTAGCTGCACTGGGCTGAAGGGCATATATACCAAGATGGATCTAATACTCGTCCATCGCGCCGAGCAAGCAGCACGAAGGACCAGCCCTTCTCCATCCAGCCCAGGAAATCGTGAAAGCCTTAGCTGACCCAGCATTTTGATGACCATATCAGTTCCTCAAGCCTCGACCACGGATGTAGAATTTTTGTCGTTATCTCTTCTTGGCAACATATGGATTGTTGTGAAGCAGACATGAAGGTCTCCAGTTCAACTACTTAATCTAGGCATTGGCAGGTTTGAATAACCAACATATGATCAATATTCCGAAAGAGTGTTATTATACGGAAAAAAAGTTTGCGCTTATCATGTTCATACCATGTGATCAGTTGAAGCGCGACATATGCCATGCACGACCTTGCCAAGGAAGCAACTTTCTTTGTCACCATATTTCATCGGTTCTAGTGCTTAACTACGCGAACTCAAGCGGACAAACTTCACTTACAGCTAGGCTCTGTCTTCTTGTCTTTTTATAAGATTCTTAGAAAACAGCTTCTCCAGGAAGCACACATCTCTCAATGTCTTATGGGAGAACCGGCAGTGCATTCTTTGTGTGGGGCAGCCACATCCGGGATGCAACTATTCTGGACATCTTATCAAAGACGGTTCCTCGACCGTCAATGCAAGTAGGTAGCTTCGGCCAATTGATGAATGCGTTCCCCGAAATCGACTAATTTCTGATCAGGTTTGTTCCCGACTGGCAGACTGACTCCCAATGTTTCTTCGTGTAGCACCAATCAGAGATAACTACGGTCTTCTCGTGATGCATGTACTCCATCATGCAAGGTCCAAGGGAGCAAGATGAGGGTTGTTGAGTTACATATCCCTGAACCTTGCTCACCTCCGCACTAACCCAAATTACCAAAGGATTGGGTCCGAAATACCAGTACCTTCGATCCAGATCCCACAGAGCCCGTAACAAAAGCCAGATCGACGGAGCAGTAGTGGGTTTTTAAGTCTATTGCACCGTATTTGTTCATAATCATTTCGTTGCTAGACGACATGCTACAACAGGCTTCAGAGCATGGGATAGCAACATGAGATGGAGTTTGTACTTGGTTCTGAACTCTCCAAGATATAGTCAAGAATCACCGCCGTCGTCTTGTAACCACCCTGTTGATTATGAGGAATCCACTTTCAGCTCATCAGCTCACTGATAGACTGCATCTTAGCCGAGGCAATTCCATAGTATGAACCACTCGTGTCCTATAGTTGGCTGCATATCAGTATGGCTCCTGATCAGGCATCATCAGGATGACTACTGCAAAGCTTGCACTAATCACTTCAATGGAGACAGCGCACCATGATCTATGGTGCCAGCCCCCAGATATTCCTATACACGTGCCATATCTACTGGCGCGATTCGCGCGGTAATGTTACTACTCAGCTTTAGACTCAACCCAAAACAGCAAATAAATCAACTGGGAGTCTGGGAGTTACGACCGGTCGACTTTGGGTACTTTACCCGGTCGAAGTCGTCAACGCAAACGGGCTACGTATTTCAAACCTCCCGCTCCTCACCGCTTCAGTAGCCGGAAAGGCCCAGGGAAGTGGACGAACGAGTGGAGATCTCTCTGAAGGTATCTGTGTGTTTGGTCAACCCGTTGGTAGTGCCAGACCCTGTCAACGAGAGAGTTTGATACGAGACGAAACTTAACCGACACACCTCCATCGAACGAACCCACTGTAGACTAGGCTGTACCATCCTGTCGGATCCCTCTATACGTACAGTACCTATACATTAGCCCACGTATGACCAGTGCAATGGGATGGCAAAAGCCAATTGCCGGCCGAAGAACAGTTACTGGCAACGATGTATATTTCACATTGTTCTTTCGGGATCGTCGATACAAACATACTAACTCACCTCCTACAGGTACACGACATCTGTATCTCGGCATAAACAGAAAACCAAGTTGGATTTCACGTCTCCTAAGGGTGTCCTAGAATCTGGTAAGTACCAATCTCGCAATATGGAATGGCTGGGGCTGCAGCTCTCTAGCAGGGTTCATCAGCAGTTTCGTTTACCTTGCACATGGTTGACCACCCACGATAACGCCGCTAATTTCTGGTTATGATTGAACTGTTAGGTCGCAGTGTCAGCATTTTTGGTAAGTCATTACTGGCCACCATTTGAAGGAAGCGAAAAGCTTGATGATGCCGAAATTCGATTGCCATGTTCATTCATGCGAGACAAGTGTAATACAAGAAGCGAGTTTGTCACTCGGGCTGGGCTGAGACTCCCAACTCCGCTATGACGGTACCGCACATGTACCTAATTTACACCCCGGTAATTGAGGCCCCCAGCAATCCCTGTCGCCTATGCCGTTTTGGTGTAAAGACCCGACCAGTTCCAAACTGTCGGGTCAGACTGTGGGGTCCGTGAAATTGGTTGGAGTTGTGATGCCTACTCCGTTCATTTTGACTGAAGTCATCTTTGCTACTCTACTACTGTACGTAAGTAGTCAAGTCCAACATATACTATGACGTCCTAATCTGATCACCCATATATATAAGCATTCTTGAGGAGGAAAATACGGATCCCATAGTCCGTATGTAAATGGCAATCGATCTACACATGAGTTTCAGTGTCACCAATAGGCACATTAGCATCCCTCTACACTCAAGGGTCTAATCATGCCGCCAGAACAACCCCCAAGGACTACACAGAACAATGAGCCCCTTGCCTGTGAGCCTATATCATAATGCTATTGAGCTAAGACTCGTCTGCACCGACCAGACGATCCTTCGTTCAACACCGACGCAAGAAGACGCCGAAACAGACGAAAGATGTCCCACTAAGGTTCAACATACAACCCTATTGGACGGCCCGAACCAACAGCCTAGCACCCCCTCAACGCCCATCGAAAGCCACGACACGCCGGCTCATAGCTGCAGATTGTCTGTGGTCCCAGCCCCGGGGCCGACCCTAGACTGAGCCCGCCCTCTCCTCACCTTACTTCCATTGCTTAGCTTACCTTTCACCCTCACTGCCCACCCGCCCTTCTTAGTGCAATCCCACCGCTACGGACCAACAGCATAAGCCTAGCTCTACATAGGTTAGGCGTGACCCACTTCGCATGGGTGTTTTGCACAATGCTCGCTCTATGTACGTCTAAGCAAAACATGGCTTGTTTTGGAAGTGGTGAGGTTGACTACCAACATACATGAATCCTTCCACCTCAACCTCTTACTTCGCCCGGTTCAAAATACCCGTTTTTTTGAACTGATTACGGCGGACGCTTGTGCTGCCGTTCTCTTGCCAAGCTTATCATACTGACATCTTGTATGTCATCTGATGATTATATTGACTCATTGAGCTTCAATTGCTCCGGGTCTGGTTGAGGACAAGCCATCAAACTGCTTTCGATAAGTGCACACACCACGAATTCAATAAGCTACCCATGTTATTATTGCTATATCACTTAGCTTATTAATTTGGAAGCAGGGATCAATGGCCCCAATAGTAAACAGAAGCTGCCATAAGATAATCTGATACGGTCGCAACTTGTTGGCCGCGCTGTGGCATCTGCAACCTCGAGTTTTCCTCACCGCATGTACACATGACCCACGACCGTCTTCATAAATCCTTGCTGTTGCAATCAACCGAATAGCTTTGTCCCTCGTTGGCTTTGTTTTGATGTTGTGTCCCGACACCACGCCACCGATCTGGTCGAAAGGTCCAAAACCCCGTCGCTTTCCAAGCGAGTCGGTCTGAAATCACCACTCATATTCACCAGTAGCCTTGTGAAACACATATTCCTTGCCGTTGACTGTCAGAACTCCATCCTTGAGAGTGCACTTCCTGTAGTTGCGGTTAATAAGCGAAACAAAATTACTCAAACTCATGCTCGAGTTTACGTTGGAACGTACCACTTGTTCTTGACCCGCTGAACCTTGTCGTACATGCACAGCATGATATTGCCAAGCCCCTCGTCATCAACATCATCGTCGTCTCGGTCCTCTTCTGGGTCATCGAGGTCAGAGTTGATGGCATCTTCATCATCTTCGTCGTCGTCATCACCTCCGTCATATGCGGCAGGTTGCTTGCCCTTGACCTTCCGTGATGTCGAGACCGAAGAAGTTCGAGTTGCCTCTTTCAAAGGAAGCATCAGACCGCCGCCCTCCATGCTCTTGGCCTTGGCAAGGATTTGCTCATGCAGCATACGGTCGATCTCAACTCGCCCGAGCTCATGCAAATTGCCATCAGCAGCTCGTTGCATGAGTACACCATCAAATTCTTCCAGATCGCCAGCGCCATCAGTCTGACCGTTTTGAATGTGGGGCTGACCGTTGGCCGGGTGTTGCGGTTGCTGTTGGGCAGTTGCGGCGGCCATTTGCTGACGATATATCTGCTGCTGGTGGTGTTGTTGCTGGGTCAGGCCGGGCTGTTGCTGCTGATGTGGCTGCGGTAGAGCCGGTTGTTGCTGTTGTTGCTGTTGTTGCTGGTTCTGCTGAGAGTGGCCTTGTTGCTGGTGAAGGGCGTTGATAGAGCTGGCGGCTCGCTGTCCATACTGAGCCTGCAATTGCTGAGCGGCACGATTGGCAGCTACATTGTTGTCATTCAAGTTGATGTTGGTGTTGTTATTGTACTGTTGGTAGGCCATCGTATTACCCTGTAAGCCGGGTTCTTGCTTGATAGGTACGTGAGGCTCGGTCTTGACATTGGTACCTTCGGGCTTGATACCATTCTGCACCTGGGGTTGGGCCATTCCCGGTAAAGAAAGACCAGTTGGGTTGCTTAGCTGAGGCGAGAATTGAGCTTGAGCATGAGTCTGAGCTGGTGGAACGGTAGCCGGCGGAGCTTGTGCAGGGGGATCAGGCTTGGGGTCCCAAGGGAACTGGGCGACATGAAGCTGAGTGAGCTTTTGCTGCCATCCCTGGTTTTGAAGCCATGTTAGCCGTTTTCTACATCAAATATCCATCAAACAAAAGAACCAGATTCGGGTGAATCATGGCACGGGCCTATCAACGGCCTGTGTGCTTAAGCCGCATGTCGCAGCTCACTGGTGAAGCAGTGAAAGAACAGGCTCAGTTAGAGACAAGATGTGCAAAGTAAGTTTGGATTTGATAAGGAAAACGGGAGAGAACGGGCAGCCAAATTGGTGGGTGGGCAAGGGGCGAGGCAGTGCAAGTGTACGACAGGCGTGTTGTGGTGGTGATAGGATGATTTGGCGTGTACAAAGTGGGTATGAGATGATGGAGGAGACACAGTTCGAGCGAGCCAATCAAAAAGCAGCGGGTATCGGCGGAAGGAGTCACAAGGTAAGTGGCAGTCGCAGCAGGGGCTATGGGCTTAAAAGACCCAAATAGTGCTGTATCGCCCCCTCGCCCTCCCCGTAACC